TTTAAAAAACTGTACACCAGCCAAAAGCAAGTGTCATATGTAACAATCTGCTACTTTAGTTATATAGTGAAGAATGAAGATTTATTTTTTTATAAGCATTCATATCACATATGCAAAGAAATGTCTAGGAGTAGATAAAAGGGGTTGCCGCTTGTACAGCAGTTCATTTTTTGTGTCGGTTGTCATTTTATCACCAATATGGTGCTAATAAAAGCTAAGTTATGATGCTGTCAGGCCTGTTATAGCTATCAGCCTTAGCTATATTGGTGCAATATACTAAGTTGTCTCATATTTTATCTGGAAATACTATTTGTCACTATCTTAGGAATGCACAAGGGTTTTGTCCTCTCAACCTGTAGGAGCAGCGATTCCCAGAACAGTAAAAAATCTGGTTAAATATATTTAGTACTAAAACTAAGACAACCCACATATCTTCTTTTGGCTTCTGCACTTCACATCTTTCCGTTGCTGTGGACAATCTGGCTCTCCACACAAGTTCAGAAGTGCGAACTTTGTGCTGCTTCCAAGACTCAGCACAAAGTTGGTCTAAGCAAAAACTACTTGCAGGTTGAAGCAAAATCACAAACTGAAAAAGAAAAGAACGCAGAGACTGCACTTTGTAGAAACTATAATCATCACTGCTGTGGCAGGTCATATTATTGGCAACATTATGGCATTTACTAATTTTACTAGTATTATTTCCTAATGAAAAAGACCTGGAGTTGTTTTATACATGCATCACACATCAAGAACTCTCTGTTGGTAATTTTCGAATTTGGAAAAAAAAATCTACTCCTCCTTCTGATGGTGGCATAGGGGTAGGGCAGGCTGATATCTTTATTTTCCCCTGATATTTGTTTTACCATATTTTCTACTGAAGACATTATTTCACATATTTAAACATGAAATGCGTGTAAATAAACTATTATTATTATTATTATCAATGGTCAAAAATAATGCATGACATATCTTCTTTAACTGAGCAACTGAACAAAAGCAGGTAAAAAAAAATTGCACTTTTTCAAAATGGTGTCACTTCTCAATATGGAACCAAACAGATATCCCGTTTCTCAACCGTAATGACGTCGGCTAAAAGATAACTCATTAAAGGACATACAAAAATAAGAGGCACGATCGATGCCCTGCTGCTACATCAACAGTTATCCATTTGTTGTTCTCTGTAATGCTGACATAATGTTTCTGCGTCTTGCTGACTCTAGAACAAGCCTTGCTCCACGGAGGCTTAATAGAACCGCTAGCACAATTATGTAGTCTTAGTATGTGGCAAGGTTACGACCACGGGAGATCGACCCCTGTAGCTATAACCACACAAAATTGTCTCTGTATTTTATCAATTAATTAACCCCAATACAGATAGGCAAATGTAGAAAATATTTCACACATTTGACCTGGAATGGTATGATATAATTGTACCACTCTTACATCACGTCACGAGCAGTTCGCTTAATTAGTTTATTTGACGTAAATAAAAAAAATAAAAAAAAATGTTCTTTGCAATCACTTCCTTCTGGTGGTAGCACACAAATAGGACAGGCCAATAGCATTATTTACCCTTGATACTTGTTTCACAATAAATTCTCTCCCTAAGATCATCTCATATATAAAACACTTACTATAATAACTAGCCCCATTATAATTTTTAATGTCCAAAAATAATGCGTCATATTTCTTCTTAAAGCTGCACTAACTCACAATTTTCAAATGTGGCCTCGCTCTTTCTGCTCCCGTCCCCACACTCACGGAGCTATCGCCCCCCCACTAACCCCCTCCCCCTCAGCCTGTGCTTATGTGTTTACGGAGCTCACAATATCTCACAATATGGATCGCAAATTTGAACGTGGATGGCGTGACCAAAGAGTGATAGAACAAGGAAGCGTGGAGGAACGAGACTTTCTTTTGGATGGCTGTTTCGCTGTGTAAGCAGTAACTGGTAACGAAGACACGGGCAGTTTCAGGTTAGCCTCTGCCGATTGTTTACCTCAGCTATCTGTGCTAACAAGAGATCTGTAGATTTTCTCAAGAAAGTGGGGGCCAGTGGTCCGCTGTGATTGGTCACAATCTGGTCCCAAAACAAATTCTCTTCCTTGTTGCACAAAAACTCGATCTAAAATAAATAGACACGCCAGCACAAATCTGTGCTACTTATTCTCCAAAAGGACGTATATCCCAATGCATTGCATGGATATGGATTGAATTTTCTTAATGAATACAAAAATAAAGTGAGCTAATGCAGCCTTAAAGTCTGCATATTACTGTTATACTGTAGGCAGCCTCATTAAGACAAGGTTAAGACAGATGGCTGCAGAGAAGACATCTGATTCACCTAATGCTGTTTGCGTGTTATCAGGGGGCAGGGGGAGGGGGCTGATTCTGCGTGTGTCTCAATTATCTCGGCAGATGAAAGTACCCAGAGAAACAATAGATATCCCGCCTCACTAAATGGGCTCTAATGGGTGCGATGGACAGGGGAAGGGAGGAGGGGAGGAGGGAGAGAAACTCTTAGGTAATGGTGATATTCTTTTTAATTAGATTCACCCTGTGTTTTGTATGTTTTCATTATTCGACAGAAGGATCGGAGTATATTGTTAAGAAAAGCACTTATTTGCAAAAGAAAACAGAGACGTTCTAGAGATTTTTGTGTTTAGGATCAGTGTAAACTTATTAACATAAAACCCATCAACAGTGGCGCATTAGTATTAAGAATCATTTTGAAATTCTGGCAGCGTCCTTGGCAAGTTACAACACACAAGCTTTTAATGACATGTCTGCTGCCTACCTGCTTTAATTAAAAAACAATGGTGACAGTGACAGACTTTATTGGAATAATTCATGAAGTTCTCAACTTTCCACTGTTGAACTGAGTGAGGGCGTAGTGTACCTCCTCAACTACAGTTGGAAAGTTGTAGTTGTCCTTGTTTCCACTTCCCCTACTATTCGGCACGGTGGCTGAGTGGATAGCACTCTCGCCTCTCAGCAAGAAGGTCCTGGGTTCGAATCCCGGTCGGACCAGGGCCTTTCTGAGTGGAGTTTGCATGTTCTCCCCGTGTCTGCGTAGGTTTCCTCCGGGTACTCCGGTTTCCCCTACCACTAAAAATATGTACAATAGGTCTGGCATGCGCCTCCTGTTCGGCGACCCCGCTCCCATCTCTGTGTGGAGTGAGAGGACAAGTGCCAAAAAATAACAATTGTAAACCGCTTTGTGACTCTGGTCTGTGAAAGGCGGTATATAAATAAAGCTTACTTACTTACTTACTTTATGTCATAAAATGTACATAGATCAGGACAGAGGGACACCATAATCTTGTTGTGGAACAATGTCATGTTTAGCAGCCTACATAACTGAAATGTTAACCAGAGTTGCAAGCGCTGTTAGATCAGAGAAAGAGAAAATTCAAGAGGAATAATTCCTTTGTTAGTGTTAAGGATTACACTTCAGAGATAATCACGAATGTGACCGCATGCATAAGAGCACTGCTGAAAGCATTCTGTAAAAATAAAAGGGAAATACCAACACACTGGAGTCTTTTTTAACAAGAAGGTGGACCAAAGATTGCTTTGTGTTTTCTAATAGTGGCCAAAACATTACATCCAATATATAAGTGTCTTTCATTGTGGACAAAACATTTTAAAGACTTTCCCCCATTCGTTTTAAATTTTAAATTGCTAAACCTATTTTCTTGTGTTATAATTGAAGTTACTTGAGCTGCACATTTCTGCAGAGCAAAAATAATTCACTCTATGATATTAAAACCAGAAAACAAAGGCATCGACATATATTTAAAGTATTTAAATATATATATATTAGATAATGTACCAGTATAGTAATTGTGGCTTGCATGTGTTATGTTGTGTTGACTGAGTGAGAGGGGTTGGAGCCAAATAAGCGTCTGCTTCATAAGTAATAATAAAATATATTGATATGGAGCTGTATCAAACCGAATCGTTGTGGATCAAAAAGTTGTTTTGGAGGAGCTGTACGTTCCAAATCGTATTACACCCCTAAGGATTACAATAAATAATCTCCAAATAAGTAACTAAATGAAGTTACTGTACTGTGTGTATTACATGTATGTAGTATGTGTAGTATCCAAATCGTTGTAAAGAGAATTGTTTACAGGCTGTGTTACTTTTGTGGAGGTATTAGGCCACGGTAAAGAAGGTTTTCACAAACAAGCTAGGCTAGGTGGCCCGGATCGTCGCCACAGGGGTCTGAAGATGGGGCCAGCCCAAATGCAGTCGAGTACAACATGTTAAGTTTGCGTTTCTCTTCCTGTTTACACTACGCTACAGCAGCGTTTTGTGTAAGGTTCCACAAGCGCGGCTCCGCAGTGTCTCTGTGTCCCAAGATCCTCCAGAGACGTCCTATTATAACAGGAGTATCTGCTATCAGAGCTGCGCCAGGAATGTATCATATTATTAACTTCCACTACGGAAGTACTGGTTAAAGTGGGCCTAGGCCCACTAGCCCCACTTTAATGGGGATTTACGTTTTGCTTGTGACCGCAGGCATAAAACACAGAATGATAAAAGTGTGCTGAAATATATAATAAAAGGGAAACCAGGATACTACCTAAACTTGATAAACCAAGTTTGAGCTGTCACTCCGAAAAAAATATTCATAAAGGTCTCTCATGTATCATTCTTCAAAATCGTATTGTCTACGCTGCTTGCACACACAGTAAAGAAAAAGTAAAGAAGTGGCAGAAGTCATAACAGGTGGTGTCTCAGTTTGTGCCAGAGCCTGGACACTGATTGAAACTGTGGGGGACTAGACATTCGGGCAATTACGGTATGTGTGTGTGAGGGTGTGTGTATTTGTGTAAGAAAGCCAGTGACCAGCGAATGCAATGCTATGTCCTGAATGTGAGAAAGAATTCTGAGATTGCGTGACTGAAAATAACCATTAACTTAAAAGTTAAAAAAAAAGATAATTCTAATAACGACAACCATTGACCACTATGTTTCTACTATTTACTCACCAGTTTCAGATAGGAGCTTGATGGATTCCAGCACCCTCTCTGTGTACACTCCCGGCTCGTAGTTCTCCATCTCAGCATTGATGATGTGGACTACTCGAGCGGCTCGTCCACGGATCGCCCCAGCAGTCCGGTCCAAAGTGTCCACGTCTCCTTCCTGAAGAGCGATCACACACTTGTTCACGTCTTCCAGGATGTGGTTCTCTGGGATGAAGAAAGAAGTTGCATAATATTGAAGAAGATGAACCAAGTCTGGGATCGCGTCTTTCATTCAGACAGAAGACATGTTTTATTGTCAATGGTAGAGACAGCACGAACAACACGAACAAGGGATGTTACGACAGCAAGTGTATTATACAGCTTGGAGGTATGCAGTCCTCCAATCAGCAGCTTCCACGGTGCCATGTAGCTTGGCCTTCAGAAGTCAAAACAAGGGAAAAGTACTGGCTTCTGCACATTGATAGAATGATGAGTTTAACTTTAACAAAAGTTGTTTAAGAGTGTTATGAAATCTCACAAATATCCACTGATGTCCAATGAACACTGGTATACATATTAAATGCTAAACTGCTTGATACTGTATGCTTGTAATGTTTAAAAACTAACCATTTGTAACACAACAACAACCACCAAATGCTATTGAAACAATCTCGCTGTGCACAATGGTATGAAAAAAATGAATTGACTTTTGAACAACAGTTCCATCCATCCATCCATTTACAATTTCTGGGTCGGGGGCCTGGCAGAGCTGCACCCAGTTCACATAGAACCAGCTCCTCTGAACAATAGTTTATAGTTCCAAATTTCACTTCTATATAAGCAAAGAAAATGGTAGCTTCAATAATAATAGACATTTTTGTATAGTATATACATTGCATATACTGTACAATGTATGGTTGTTTTAGTCAGACGGCTTGCTGCCAACATGCACCCTTTTCCACACAAAAAAGAAAAGACAAGAACTGGTGTCAATATAACTACAAATATGTTTTTGTCCAGCGTGGTATGAGGCCCCCTTACCTGAAACTGAGAGGAAGTCATCCACAGAGGTGATGTCGTCCACGGCCTCGGTCAGGATGCGGACCTGCTTTTCCCACTGGTCTTTGAACACGTCCATGTTGTCCTGAGCCACCTTGCTTTGTGGGCGCGCAGCCAGAGTGAGCGCAGCGTTGATGACCTGTAAGAACAAGGAGTGCGGAGGTGATGAACCTATTTATTCAATGAGAAACAAATGCAACCATTTCACACCTTTTCTTGCTTACTATTGGACAACTAGCCTGAGCAGAAAGTTAACATATGTTTTAAAATGTTACTTCTGTGATTTAACTTAAGGTAAAGGTAAATGTGCATTTATTAGTGAAATTCATCCTCTGCATTTGACCCATCCTGATGCTACGAAGGCTTACGTCAGGAGCAGTGGTCGCCGTAGTAACAGCGCCCGGGAACCCATCTCCAGATGTTGATGCTCAGCTTGGTCAGGACTACCAGAGCTGGAAGATTTTACCTAGTGTGCATTTTTTTAGTACTAAGTACTAATATATGATATAGATAAGCATTTCTTTTGATGATTTTGAACCAATTAACAACATTATATCAAATAGAGGCATATAATGTAATGAGTCTATCATATATATATTAGTTTCAAATAGAAAAGTAGATTTAGAGTAAGTACATGGACTTTTAAACAATACTCTAGCATAGAATCCATGTTACTAGTTTCCAGCTCTCAAAACTAATTCAGCCTCTGTCTCATCTTCAGATCAGCTTTTACAGTGAAAAAAGAGAGAACCAGCTCTCAGACTGAAAACATTCCTCCTAATATAAAAAAATAAAGACGGAATGTTGTGCTTGTTACTTAATAATATTAATAATCATAATAATACATTGTGGGCGGCACGGTGGCTAAGTGGATAGCACTCTCGCCTCTCAGCAAGAAGGTCCTGGGTTCGAATCCCGGTTGGACCAGGGCCTTTCTGAGTGGTGTTGTATATTTTAAATATACACTAAACAGATGTGACAATATTTGACCATTTGAACATCATAGCCAAAAAAGACCTGTGCACTCAGGAAAAACCCCAAGGACACAAGATAGTACAGGAATCATAAAGATGACCAGCTTACAAAACCAGACAATTATTGACTCCAAGAGTAAACACATGCTCTCTCCCACTCTCGACGAGAGCAAAGTCCCACACAGGCGCCGCACGGGTGGAGGGCCTTGTTTGCTAAGACTGATATGGAAGACCAAAACCAAGACCAAAATCCAGACCAGAGACCAGATCAGAGACCAGTCTCAGACCATGTGACGTCATCGGACATGTTGATAAAACTGGGGGTAGGACATTTTGAGCAGTCGGAGCAGGGATAGATAGACAGGGAACATCGCAGAGCGCCTGGATGTTCTCTGCACATTTTTCAGGCCTGGAGGGAAAGTTTAGAATGGCTCAGCATAGGGTTAGTTTTAGAGAATTAATGGCTCCAAGAGTTTTGTATCGATATTTAATTGTAAAGAGAATTCAATGTTCTATTTTTAACTCTTGCAGTCTTGGCCTTATTTCTGTATCAAACTCTGAACACGTCAGTCAAATCTTTTTTGATAACAGTGGAGTTTGCATGTTCTCCGCGTGTCTGCGTAGGTTTCGTCCTGGTGCTCCGGTTTCCCCTACCACTAAAAATATGTACAATAGGTCTGGCATGTGCCCCCTGTACTGGCACCCCCACTCCCAAAAAAACCACAGTTGTAAACCGCTTTGAGACTCTGATGTGCAGTGAAAAGGCGGTATATAAATAAAGATTACTTACTTACTTACTTATTGGTTTTTATACAGCGCTTTTTTGGAAACTCAAATATTCTTCACATGCCATTTTTCATTCACTCCATAAACAGTAGTGGCCACTGACAAGAGCAAGGCAACCAATATGTGCCATCGGCCCCTCAATTAAACTTAATTAAGACTTATTCTGTTGGGACAGAAAACATGTATTTATTCCAGTGGGGGAGGGTCCCAGCTCAAAAGTGGCCAAAATGACGTGCGCTGACATACTTGCAATACCACCCCGGGCCGAAGTAGAATTAGCCAATGCTAATATATAGCATTGGCAGACCTCTCAAAAACGTCTTTACAGGATGGACCAAAAGTTGGCTCTTGGCCCAGAGCTCCGTTCCACATGTGTGTCAATGCTGAGGGGGGTGGATTTTTTTGGTGCACTTTACTTTACTTGCTGTGAATTTTTGAAGTATCTCGTTCAAATGAATGGAGCTGCGCCGGCTGACGCATGCGCAGATGCGTTTTTTCACAATTTTCTTGTGGGCGGGACCACTCGCGGCCATTTTGGATTGCTCCAGTAGAGCACATTTTTTGGCCCATTAGTTAGAACGGCGGAGATAGGCGTGACTCTGTCCGTTAATATATACAGTCTATGATTTATTCATGTATTTTGTTATTGTATTAGTTTATTTGAAAAGGAACAAAAACAACTGTTTACGTGCCAGCATATCCTAGTCAAGCTGTAAAATGCCAGAAGAAATACAGCCAGTATTGGAGAAAGCCAAAGCAGTCGTGCTCACTGGTGATTACTGGACATCCATCAGTAATCACAATTATCACAACCCCAATCAAGGGACATTTAGATTAATCGTGAGTTATCTATAACATTAATGCAATGAATCACGAATCAATATTCTAATCATTTAACAGCACTAATTATAATTAATTTGACATAAATACATTATTTGAACACAGTTTTGTGACAAGTGAAAGCGAAAGGTTGAGTTTGGTTCTGAACAGTAGATGAATACTTTGGCTTAAAAGTGTAAAAAGTCGGCTGCACTTCACAAGCCGTCTGAGACAAAAACAATAAGACGGCTCTGTTACAAGTGCCCCATTGATACGGCATGTCCTGCTGAGATGCTCACTGACTGCTTCATATTCTTTGCACCATGACAGAAGGCGCATGTACTTTGAACACTTGAGTCTGTTCTTTGTCACATTCTGCTCTTGACACAAAGCTTGAGTTAAACAGCATGTGTAGGCCCTTGCTTAAACATCCAGGGATAGTGTGAATGATTATTGAAATACATGAGAATAGAAGAGAGGATAAAGGAGAATAGATGAAGATTGTTTTTTCCTGTCTCTCCTCCGAGTATAACACGAGTACGGCCTACCCTTAACCTCGGAAACAATGGATCGATTCAAAGCTCTTCCTTCACCTGCATCCAGGGAGACAGCAGTACAAGTTTCCTCCTACACAATATTCACAGCCCACATAAACTCTTGTGCAAGGCATATGCACTATTTTCCTTCTTTACTTTCTAAAGAGTCCACTGAGATGATTGAGATGCGAGTGGGTATGTGATTCTGAACAAAATGTTTCAAGCAATTGTCTCAGAGCTCACCTGTGGACATAGGCTGTCGATCTGGGTGGCAGCCAGCCGGACAAGCTTCACACCTTCTTCATTGTTGGAGATGGAACACGCCAAGTTAGCCACCTGAAGAGAAAACATAACAAATGCTGTTAAACAGAATTACAGAAAAGTTAATCTTGTGGCTAATGGATATGGTCCCTTCAACGAATGAAGTGAACAGTTTGTAAGCAGCAAGGAAGCTCATATGGATCCGTGCAGTTATAAACATTCACTGAGTAAATGTCAGGATGGATACATTCAAGAAATTATCTTTTGCTGCCATTTAAGATTTAACATGTGATATTTGACGTGACAAGATATGTGAACTTGAGAGCAATAGTTCGTGGGTTTTAACAATTCAGAAATCTCACAGTTCATAAAGATTCTATGTCTCGAGAAATGCGCATGTTTATGTTTGTCAACAAACTGGCTTTACTTCTACCCACATATATTATATATTAATCCCAACAGTAGCCAGTACAGACAAGCTGAGGAACCATGCAACATTGTAGTAAAATCCATCCAACTAGTTGCTCACTCTCAAAGGAGTTTGGTTCAATCCCTCATGCCGACCAACAGGAATTAAGCGTGGAATTGGCATGTATGGCCCCCCACTAGCAGACATAAAAACACATAGGACATCACATGCCAGCAACATTTGAACTGTATGATTCAGGGTGGCACAGTTTGCATGTTCTCGCACGTCATTTTCCTCTGGGTGCTCCGGTGTCCTTAACACCTTAAAACCTGTAAAGTAGCCCAATGTTACCACCCTCACTCCTGGCCTCTGTTTGGGCACAGCAATCCCATGAAAACGAAATTCTTTAATCTCACTTGGACTTTCCTAGTTAAATAAAGATTGATACAAAAATTATGACCATAAAAAATCTATCAGGTCAAGATAAATGCATATCTGATAGGAGTGTGACAATATATTGATATTGTGATGTATCGTGATACTTTCTCACACGATCGATTATCGATATGCTTTTGCCAAGTATCGATTAAATGTATTTTTTTTTTAAGTATTATTTTTTATTTTATTAGTATCAATACTTAATATATGGCTACATTACGCATCTCCATTCCATTTATCATGAAATAAAGTGTATTTTTTTACTTAACATGTTTCTTTTATTTATGCCAATATGTGCTGTATTTGAATCAAGAGTTGAGAATTACACTTATAACTATTTCGTGTTTATTCAGATTGCTTTACTAAAAGATTTATAAAACAGTATATTTCTGACCAATACATCGATAATCGTCATATCGTGTTATAATCGTTATCGTGAGTTTTGTATCGCGTATCGTATCGTATCGTGAGGTACCCTGAGGTTCCCACCCCTAATTACTAATGTTAAAAATAGTTAAGTTCCCCACTTTTAACTCAATTAGAATATTACCATACAGTTTGCATATGCATATTACACAGGGCAAGTGTACCATATATTGACACAAGGGTGACAAGCGGTGGCCTTATAAACAACATTTTACATGTGGGTGTACATGAATCCTAACAATTGGATCCTCGAGCATAATGATTATAATTATGATTCTAATTTTCCTTCATTCGAAACAATCATTCACATTTCAGTGCACGTATCCAGTTCATGTTAACACAGTCCAGGTAAGATTAATATACAGATGGTGACATCCCCTTCTGTGAAGTCTGGTTCAGTATTTGATAGAATAACTTCACTTTTCACTCCTTTCAGCAAAATTCAAAAGCCCCCATAAGTAAATCAGGCTATGGCAGCTTCAGAAAATTACCCAGGCACACACATGCCTGATGGCAGAGAGGTGCCACTCTGTATTAGCTTTTCTACTGCTCACATGTCAAAATTTGAAACAAATTGAGCTAAATCAAATTTGTGTTGGAGGACTCTTGCTTAGAGCTTTGTCTCTTTGCTCATGACAGCAATGAGCACATTGATGGATTGCAGTCCTTTATGTGGAGCTATGTGCAGTGTTTAAAGCTGAACGTATCAGACACTGTGATTGAGAGCTGCTTGCCCATAAACCTGAGTGGCTGCATGCTGTTCACAAACATATCCAATACATTTCCTCTCTGCCACAGTCTTTATACAAACTCTTATTACATTATGCGAGATTTGTAGCTTTCCTTTTCCTTTTTATCTTCACAATGTCAAGTTCTGTAAGTCTCATAGTGATGTTTTGGGAAAATACATTCAAGGGTAACGGAAAACCACTTAAACCATAAAAGAACCATACTAAAAATCCCATTCAGGAAATGGGATTCTGTTGAAGGAAAGTCAGGAGAATGAACATTTACTGTTGAGTAATAATTCTTGTGCTGCAATTGCTGATGACGAATCTGATAATTGGTGACATATGTGACTCAAAATTAAAAGGTAAATAAAACTAGCACTTGGCATGAACACTTTCCTATTTGACCATCTCTCCAATTAAAGTATAATAGCAGTATTTGACGAGCACAGATGATTTCTCTTCCCTGGCTCTGAATCAGGCCTATATGAGGCCAAGGGGTACAGGGTTGCAGAGCTGGACACATGCCTAGCAGCTCCACTCCGCTCCCAACACATTGTTGGGCCTGGGCCAGTCTGCTATACCCAACCAAAACTACTAATTGCAATCATCTAAGGAAGAGCTTCTCCTTTGAGGATCCTCTTTATCCTCACAACAGGGCGGGAAAACTCAAGATAGAAGCTCAGAGACTACAGCATGCAAGCCTAATGCTGATATGGTCAAAGATGCAGCAGCAGAATACAGAATTCAAAAAGTAGGTGTTGTTTGCGCAACGCAGGAAGAGAGAGAGCGATAGAGGTCCCTGCCGGGCGACTATTCTTCATTCTAGCCTTGAGCAAAGAACAATTGATTGTGTCCTTTAGTTCTGCCCTGGATAATAATTTAAATTCTAATTTGATGAACGTTTGCACAGTCAGAGATGAGCATTCTCATATACACTTGCTAAATGGCTTCAAATGAGGTAACTGAAAAAGCAGCTCATTCTGTCATTTTGTTGGCCAAATTGAGTAGCATGAATGATGGTAATACATTCAAATAACTCCACAGCGGCCTCTCCTAGACAATGCTTAGGCCATACTCTATAATATGATAATATTTTCTTCCATTTAGAACTGGATGATTGAATATCATCTTTATACATTTGCAGAGGACTTCACTGTGGCAGGATAAAGCCCTTCTGCGTGTCTGTATTCAATCATGGTGGCCAGTTTTAAAAAGCACACATGCAACATATAATTCTAATTCCATTATCATCCCTTTTGGCATAGAAATCTCGGAACTATAGTTCTGAGCCTGAATGTTTAGGGAAAAAATGGTGAGGCAAATAACAAATAACTTGAATTAGTGCATAATATACAAGAAAAAGTTGCCTTTAGACTACCTTTAGACCATCCATGAAGGACTGTTATGACTTGTTTTTTTTCACTACAGTCCCTTTAAGAGACATATGATATATATATATGATTTTTACACAATACCATTCATCCTAGGACGATATTGGAAATTAGAGCGATATTCAATATGAGTGTTTAGTATTGCGAAAACAATATTATGGCGATATTTTTGTCCGTCACCTAAAATTGCAATCTGCATTGAAACACAATGCAGATTAATGACCTTCAAATGCATATATATATATTTAATCTTCTGTTTGTTTGATATTCTTCTTGAATGTTGATGTGTCTGTTTTGTTGTCTTTACTAAAGAAAAAAAAAAAAAAATATATATATATATATATATATATAAACAATATATATACATATATATATATATATATATCAAGAAGTCCTACCAATGGCTAGAAAGGGCTGGCCTACAGGACAGCACAGAGGCACTCATCATGGCTGCACAGGAGCAGGCCCTGAGCACCAGAGCGATAGAGGCCCAGATATACCACACCAGACAAGAGACCCAAGGTGTCGGTTGTGCAAGGAGGCACCTGAGACGATCCAACACATAACTGAAGGGTGCAAGATGCTGGCAGGGAAGGCCTACATGGAACGCCATAACCAAGTGGCTGGCATAGTGTACAGAAACATCTGTGCAGAGTATGGGCTGGAGACCCCAAGGTCTAAGTGGGAAACTCCTCCAAAGGTGGTGGAGAATGAGCGTGCAAAGATCCTGTGGGACTTCCAGATACAGACCGACCGATTGGTAATGGGGAACCAACCTGACATCGTGGTGGTAGACAAAGGGCAGAGGACAGCCGTGGTGGTGGACGTGGAAAAAGGAACATGAAAAGCTTGAGAAATACCAAGGTCTCAAAGAGGAGCTGGAGAGGGCCTGGAGGGTAAAGCTCACAGTAGTGCCCGTGGTGATCGGTGCACTCGGGGCAGTGATCCCGAAGCTAGAAGAGTGGTTACAGCGGATCCCCGGAACAACCTCGGACATCTCGGTCCAGAAATGTGCAGTGCTAGGAACAGCAAAGATACTGAGCAGAACCCTCAAGCTCCCAGGCCTCTGGTAGAGGACCCGAGCTTAGAGAGGGATAACCGCCCGCGGAGGGCCAAAGGTGAGTGGACAATTTTTTTTTTTTTTACATACAGTATATATCAGAGAGGAGCAGGAGAGGGCCTGGAGGGTAAAGGTGACAGTAGTGCCTCTGGTGATGCGTGCACTTGGGGCAGTGACCCTGAAGCTGGAGGAGTGGTTACAGCGGATCCCTGGAACAACCTCGGAAATCTCGGCCCAGAAATGTGCAGTGAAAGGAACAGCAAAGATACTGAGCAGAACCCTCAAGCTCCCAGGCCTCTGGTAGAGGATATATATATATATATATATATACAGTGCCTTGCGAAAGTATTTGGCCCCCTTGAACCTTTCAACATTTCGCCACATTTCAGGCTTCAAACATAAAAATAAACAATTTTAATGTTTTGTCCTGAATCAACAACAAGTGGGACACAATCGTCCCACTTGTTGTTGATTCATGACAAAAAATTAATATTTTATATCTTTATATTTGAAGCCTGAAATGTGGTGAAATGTTGAAAGGTTGAAGGGGGCCGAATACTTTTGCAAGGCACTGTATGTATATATATATATATATATATACAGAAGATATGACACATAAA